GTTGTGGGTACTACTGTGACTGATTTATATTATTGGAGTATTGTCGCCTGAAGAAGATATCCCATTAGATAAAGGTAAGCACCACTCGGTACCTTTAATATCACAGCATATATATAGGCGATAAATACTACATTGGCGCTGGCCATAGTCTACATGACCAGACACTTTCGTCATTACCTACTGGGACGACCTTTCCGAGTGAGGACTGACCACAATAGCCTAACTTGGTTACTCAACTTTAAGCAACCACAAGGACAGTTAGCTAGGTGGATCGAAGAGCTTAGCCAGTACAATATGATCATCCAATATCGTAAGGGTAAACTGCATGCTAACGCCGACGCTCTCTCTCGTTTGAGGGAAATGCATGACTCTGGGGCGGGCGCCACCCCACTTGTGGGGGTGTTCGTATTGTAGACGAGCACATGAGAGGTGGGCTACTTTCAGGGAAGTAGTGGATGATGTAGTGCCTATCGCTCATGTGGGTCAGATCAGGTCAGCCAAGGGGTCTGATGATATTCCATGGGATCCCGGGGGCCAGGTGACTATTGAAATAATTAGGCCGGACACCCAGGGTGGAAATAATACAATTTCTATCTTACAGGATAACGGATCCAGAGTATATGCTGTACAACCAGATGCTAAAGCTTCTTGCTGGGGCTACTCTTTGGATGAAATAAAACAGGGCCAGACAAACGATCCTGACCTTGCACCCATCCTAGACTGGTTGAAGAACGGCGAACCATTAGAAAAGACGCTCTTTATTTCCAGCGCTTCAACCAAATTTCTTTGGTTGAACAAAGACCGTCTACAATTAACCGATGAGGGAATCCTGTTCATACAGCAGAAGAACGCTACTGGGCGCCTCTTAGTACTACCCAGGGAGTGGCAGATGGAAGCCATACGACTACATCATGACCTACCGTCAGCGGGGCACCAGGGAATAGCGAGAACAAAATTCAGATTGAAGGAGAAGTTCTGCTGGCACGGTATGGGTAAGGATGTGGAAAGATATGTGTTAACTTGTGAGAATTGTAATCGTAGCAAGAAATCCACTCGTAAGGGTAAATATCCAATGACCGAGTTTCATGCTGGGATACCGATGGAACGGGTGCACATAGATTTCCTGGGCCCCCTACCCAAAACTGAACAGGGCAATATATACATATTGATGATGGTTGATCAATTTAAGAAATGGGTTGAGATCAGTCCCGTTCCCTCCCAAATCGCCGAGGTGACTGCGAGAGCACTGGTGGGGGATTTCTTCTCCCGCTTCGGGGTTCCCTTCCCATTACACTCTGATCAGGGGAGGAATTTTGAAAGTGAATTATTTAACTCTTTATGTCAAGTCTTACAGATCCACAAGACCCGTACTACCAGCTATCGGCCGTCAGCCAACGGTCAAGTAGAGCGGTTTAATCGTACGTTGATGGATGCGGTAAGATGTTATGTCGGCAAGAGACAGAGAGACTGGGATGTCCATCTTCCACAACTTGCTGGTGCATTACGCGCCACAATAAACAGATCTACAGGGTTTACTCCGAACATGCTGATGCTAGGCCGGGAAATTAATCTTCCCGCTGATTTGATGTTTGCCCAGTGCCAGTCGGGGGAAGCTCAGGAAGTTGGGGTTTACATCTCAGAATTGGTTCGTTCCATTCGGGACGCCCACGATACTGCCAGGGAGACCCTCAAGGAGACTCAGAAGCGCATGAAGAAGAATTATGACCTGCGTGTTCTGAAGCGGCCTTATCAACGTGGGGATAAGGTGTATATACTCGATAACAGCACCCCCAAAGGCAAATGCAAAAAACTTTGTCCTCCGTGGAAGGGTCCGGGAGTCATAATAGACGTCATAACTCCGTGTTTATTCAGGGTACAGTTGAGGAACAAAGTGATGATCCTCAATCATGATAAGTTGAAGCCTTGCCTTGATAGGCAGCTTCCCAAATGGTTGATTAACTATGTTTTACCACCTTCCTCTTTACCTACAGATAATGCGGATGATGCCCCAGGAGCGCTGTATTGCAGTTGTCATAAACCCTGGGCAGGCGCCTTTATGATTCAGTGTGATTATTGTGATATCTGGTATCATGGCTCATGTGTAAACATCTCGCCATCGGATGCCCTGAACATTGATTTGTATAAGTGTGCCCAGTGTAGAAACCCTGGCCAGTTGACTATTCACTAATGTGTAGTGTTAATAATTAGTTCAATTTCCCATGTCCATTTCTAACCACATGTATTGTATTTCCTTACTCTCGCAGAAATGGACAAGCAAGATCAGCTGCCGTCCGTTGATGAGATGGACGTCCAACTTAGTGTGGCTGAGGAGAATAACCTCCTCGCCGATTCACCTCACCCGCCACCACTGGAGTCACTCCCGCCCGCAGAGCCGTTGCCGCCAGCAGAGTCATCGTCAATGGAGCCTGAGGCGGATATTCATCCAGTAGAGTAAACTCCATCCTCAGCCGAACCATCCCAACCCGGAGCGGGAAAACGCCCATCACTGCCTCCGGAGAATGCTTGCGTTTGGCCGGGGTGTACTATTAAGAGGGTTGTCAATATGAGGGTGCATGTTATGGCCAAACATGTCCCACAAAATCTGAAACCTTTGGGTCGCAGTTCTCGACGCCAAGCCCAACGGCAGCTTGACGTTTTAAGACAACTGGTTGTAGCGTGTATAGGTGAAGGAGCCACCTTACACGAACTCATGATCCGCCTCAACCGAGAGAGAGGGATGGGAGAGTCCGGGTTTAAGTTTGCCATAGATCATCGCACCTACCGAGCTATGCAAATGATTTGTGCAGAGATGGGTGGGGAAGAGTGCGGGGTGTTTACAGTTAATCCTGCCAATCACCCTGCATGCTTGATCCACTGGCGATGTTTGGCGGCTATTGCCGTCCGCGTCGAGCCGGGTGTCCTCCAGACCATCTTTCAGCGAGCGAAGGGGGAGGTTACCGTTCAACCCGCTATTCAACCCCCTCAACCCCGTGGAAAGAGGGTTCGTCAGGAGGAGCCGAGAAAGGAGTTAAAGCCCAAGAGAAAGGCGCTTCCACAATCACGTGGGACGCCACATTCTTCCCAGGGCTCAGCGGCGAAGGCGTATGACGCCCATTTTCACCTGGACCGTTTGCGTCAGGGGCTGAGGGTGTCTTCTTGGGCCACTCTTGGCGACCTGGAGCGAGCGGAGCCAGCAAGGGGCGACGTCCTTCCCGTGTCTGTGGTTGGGGGTGTAACAGTTTACTGTGACCCACATACCTACCCTACGGCACGGGAAGTGCATTTCATCACTAGGGATCTACACCTGGAAGTTGCCGTAGGTATTCATCCGAAACATGACTTGACATCTGACCAATTTGATCGGCTTTATTCCCTATCAAGAATGAGGGAGGTGAGGATCCTAGGGGAAATTGGCCTTGATCATACCCGGCCACCCTCGGATTGGTATCGCCAGGAAAACCTCTTCCGAAGAGTATTGAACCGGTGCTATGCCCATCACCAGCACCGGGTAGTGTGTTTGCACCTACGTGGTATGGCCGGTGATCCCACGGCAGAGGAGTGTTACTCTCGGGCTTTGGATATTTTACGGCTGTCCCGCGTCCCTCAGGAGCAACGCTTGCTGCTGCACAATTACACCTCCACCGTTGCCATTGCCGATGCCTTCCGTCATCATTTTCCCGCCACGCTTTTCAGCTTTTCGTTGGCCGTGAGTGGGTTCAACAACCAACAACGCCAGGCATGCAGGCACATCGAAGCCGTAGATGACAGGCGGTTGCTGCTGGAATCCGATGGACCACACTTCGCACCAGCAGGACATCGAGTTGGTTCCCCCCATCTTCTATGGGCAACAGCGGCAGCGGTTGGGGAGGTGCTCGGCCGTGAACCCCGTCAGATCCTGGATCTGACATGGAAGAACGGACGGGACCTTTTCTAAAAAATGCAGCATGCTATAAAGAAGATTTTATGTTTGTTTATATATTCTGTTCTGGAAATTAATTTACTTTATATTTTACAGACCCGGATGATTCAGCATAGTGAACATCCGAGAGAACAGCTTTTTGCATTATTCCCGTTGAAGACATCAGTGTACGTTCACCGGGTTTCCTGTACAATCTGTGACTCAGCGAGCCCATACGTTTTCCGACTGGTTATCAACAGGATGATGTCAACTCTTTTCAAATAAGGGAGGAGTGTAGTGACAGCCGCCGTCTGTTCGAGAGACCGATCAACGGTAACGACCCCTAACCCCGGCATCTGTGTATTTGCATATCCTGCCCTCAGGTGTGCAGAGGAGGGATCGCCGAGATCTTGGGGAATTGTCGTCACTCGTACACTGGACTTCATGCAAGACGCATCATTAACCCTATCACAGGATTGTTTATCTGGTGTCCGAGTCTACACAGGAGTATAATTGCCTGCGTTGTGGGTACTACTGTGACTGATTTATATTATTGGAGTATTGTCGCCTGAAGAAGATATCCCATTGGATAAAGGTAAGCACCACTCGGTACCTTTAATATCACAGCATATATATAGGCGATAAATACTACATACTGTACCGTACTATATACGGCGTGTACTATTTCTCTGTGTGTCCGTATTGGATATATATATTGGAGTATTATCGCTTAAGAAGATATCCCATTGGATAAAGGTAAGTACCACTCGGTATTATCACAGTATATAGGCGATAATTACTACATATGGTTAGGGTTAAAACATTAAGAAGATATTCAACCTCGGCTACATACCCGCGGTCCATGGATCGCACCTGATCCGCCAAACCAAACCTACTACACTTCACATTAGGCCTAGCCTAGTAGTAGGTAGTCTAGTAGGCCTAGGCTAGGCCTAGGTCTGGCCCTAAAGAGGTAGGGCCAGACCTACTGTACCTACTAGGGCCTAGGCCTAGAGAGAGAGAGAGGCCTAGGCTAAAGTAAATGAGATAGGCCTATGTAGTAGTAGGCCTAGATAGGCCTACTTCTTTATTATTATCTTACCGATATCTATAGCAAAACGTTTTGCATTCTTTAAATTCCTAAAAACCTGCTCGGGAGGCAGGGCTATGCAATGTGCATAAAGTGATGTTTCAGACATGATTGATAATGCGCCCTCTATGAGAGGCGTTACTTTTTCGTGTTGTCAGATCATATGTGGAACAATTATTTAAATATAATTCATTATTTATCATATAATCTAATAGATCACCTATTAATTATATATAATGCATTTACGTCTAATTAGTTTACTGGTTTCATTATATAGATATAGGGTAACACATCATTATAATAAATAATGAAAAGTAACTTACAATTATTTATATATAATAAGTTCACTGATTTCATTATATTATAAATAACGAATTGACTTCAAACTCATTATATATAAATAACTGTTTTCACTTTGGGGTTCTCTTAATTGATTTGAGATTTTCAGTACAGCAGATTCAGAATCTGCTGTAGCCCTTGCTGTGCCATTTTCGATTGGTGATGGTCTGTGACCTGTAGACCACACACAATAGGCCCTAATTGTAACGTTAGAGCACTGATGAATATTTATTACTTCATAATTTGCATAACGAATTATTTATAAACCATGGTTTCCTACGATGTCATTATTTATATAAAATGGCACTCGACCTCAACGGTTATTTATATTATTGGTAAATAAGAACCCATTATTTAGATATAATGATCTTGACACGATAACACGTGTGCATTATATACATATAATGGTTTTGTGACAGCTATTATTTATATATAATGAAATGTAAAAGCAGTTATTTATATATAATGAGTTTGAAGTGAACTTATTATATATGAATATTTGTAAGTTCCTTTTCATATTTATATATAATGATTTGTTACCTTTTCATATATATATAATGGAATCAGTGAACTTATTATATATAAATAATTGTAAATTACTTTTCATTATTTATATATAATGATGTGTTAACCTTTCCTTATTTATATATAATGAAACCAGTAACCTTATATATAATTTAAATAATGTTTGGTTAACCTTTTATTATTTATATATAACGAAATCAGTAAACTAATTATATATAAATAATGAAAACGTTAACGCAATTATTTACATATAATATTTTAGACGTAAATGCATTATATATAAGAAATGGGTGATCTGTTGAATTATATGGTAAATAATGAATTATATATAAATAATTGTGTGAAATAATAAATTTACACTTGGCGCCTCATAGAACGCCACCGTCAGCGGTGAGCGTGCGAAGAACAATTTAAAGTGATAAAATGGAACTTTTAGATTTATAGTTTGTTTTGTATGTGAATTTGCGAGACAAACTTTAATCACCCGTTGTATTATGAAATTTACTCCCACACACCTTGTAGTTATTAATATTTATCTTATCAAAAAAATGTATTTAGGCTACTGGCACCTTGACCTCTGACGATTAGTGCCAACAAATTTTCACAAAACCTGATGCAATAATGACAATAGTGACAAAATGATTATTATGGTTTATTTTCAGGCGCTCCAAATTTCTTTCCTATTCTTTCTTCCTATGCTTCTTCCATATTTTTAAATTAATTTATTTTACTAAATACATATTTATGCATTATATATATATATATATATATATATATATAGGCCTATATATATGTATATTACGATACATATTTTAACTGTACACATTGTGTCTGTATTTAAAATATTTCAATCTTCTCACTTTATTTAAATATTATCAAACATTATAAACTTTAACGATTACATTATTTCATATAATATATTTTTCAAGTAAATATCTAAACTTCAACTTTAATTAATTAAATATAAACTCTGAAAGTCTCTAAATTTACGTAGATTAGATCAATAAAAATAGACATAGTAGTAATCCTTATCTATTCATTAATAATAATATTTCCAATTTTCTAATCAATTTTATATCGCCGGAGTTAGTTTCGACCTAGTCTAGCTTTGCTAAAAAGGTACACTTTCTTCATCAGTACCGTTACGATTTTTCTTCGTTGTGGTCAGGTGTGACCGCAAAGGCAACGATATCGTTATCGGTATCGTTACCGGTATCTTTATCGGTGTAGGTGTGACCTGGCCTTTACGCTAGCGTATCGTTAATCGAGTGGCGTGTACTTGTAGCGAACACCAGTAAATATCGCGCAATCACTAGCTACGTTCAGACCAGGCGTTAGATACGTCTGGCGTATCTCTTATGTCTGAACGTAGCCTTTAAGTACGCTACTGATTTACGACAGTCACGCATCAGTGATTTTGAACTCAGCCAGGATTTGACTAATCAAAATAAGCCTAGATATAAACAGATAATAAAATGCGCGAATTACTAATACGAATATTTCGCGCGAATACTTACGCTAGCGTTTGTTAATCGCACAGTCTGGACATCTCGCTAATTACGCCATGGATTAATGTACGCTCGACGTTAGATACGCCTGGCGTATATCTCAGGTCTGAACGTAGCCATAGTAAGAGTAATATAGTATTTATGTGCAAGTTTAATATTTTTTATATATTTTTCAACTGCAATTTGATATTTTCTGTATTTTTTATATTGAAATTTAACTCAATTTGTTGTAAATGAAATTTTTTATAACAACTATAATTTTAATAATATTTATTATATTTAGTAGCAGCGTGACAATTTTGTTTATCAACATTTAATTTCAATAATTGCAATTATAGCCCTAAATGTTTCTTATTTTTTATTTTTTATCTCCTTGCTTTTTGTTATTTGATGTTTGTTTGGTGTCATTTTTTTATGATTGGTTTGGTGTTTTTATATGTGAATAGACCAAAATAGTTTATCTTATCTTATCTTACCTATCAGTAGGTTTTCCTTCAACATAATAACATAATAACCAGTGGCGTAGAAAAATATTTTTCATTGGGGGGAATGATTGGCGTGTTAGCCAGTGTCGTAACAGGCGCGGGGTTGGGGGGAAGGGGGAACCTGCCTCTCCCCTGACGGTTTTTACCGGGCTGACAAGAATAAAAAGGAAGATATCATAATGACCAGACTCACAACACCTTGCAACCCCTTCTCCACTTCAAAAACTGTCATAACTCCTTTGATCTATGCTGCCCGATGGCGTAACCACTGGGGGAAAAGGGGAAAATATCTATCTTTGAAAAATCTTCCCCACCCCCTTTATAAATGCCCTTTCATCCCCTGAAAGTGTGCATAAAAACCTCAAATTTCGCGCGCATTTCTTGTTAACATGGCCCAATTTCCTCTAAAAATTGCACATTTTAGAATTAAAAACACCGGGAGACAAGGGGAAAATATCCATCTTTGGAAAATCTTTCCCCACCCCTTGACAAATGCATCCTCTGAAAGTGCCTAAAATTCTCAAAATCTTTGCATGCATTTCTTGTTACGGTAGGCCAATTTCCCCCATAAATTGCAAATTTTAGGGAGTTTTCATCAATTCCAACGAAATTAGAATTAAAAACACAAGAATATTTTGCGCTCTTGGCGCGCATTTTTTAGAGTTTTTTTAGTTTTTTCCTTTTTATGTTATTTAAACACATAATAGTCCCAAACTCAAGAAAGACAAATTTAAGATAGATCATTTTAACCTAAAAGAAGGGCCTCAATGTGTATAGGCCTAGATGGTACAAGAATATGTTTGTAATAAATAAAACCATGATGAAAATGCTTATATTTATTATTATTATATTGT